ACCCCCCCCCCCCCCCCCGCCCCGCCACCCTGCCAGGTGCTGGACACCGACTTCTTCCTGGTGGCCGCCAAGGACGCCTTCATGGAGGCAGCCCGCCAGTTCCTGTTTGAGAACTACTGCCGCATCCACCAGGTGGGCGCCCGCGGGCCGGGTGGCGGGGAGATGGGGAGGCGCTGGGGATGGCACGGTGTTTGGGCGGCTGCCGGGGGGGCAGCAGGTGGGAGCCCGGCTTGGCATGGGTCGGCGTGCGTTGGGCCGAGCGTCTGTGTGGGCTGCGTGCCATGGTCGGGAGCTCACCCATCCCGCCGCTGTTGTGGCTGCGCACCCCCTAATACCCCACCTCCGCAGGCCATCAGCATCAAGAGCCTGAGCGAGAAGCTGAACATGGATGAGGAGGCGACCGAGAAGTGGATTGTGAACCTCATCAGGTGTGGGTCGTCAGCGTCACGTTGGCACAGCTGCGCGGTTCTGCCTTGCTGGCAGCTGCTTCGATGGCAGGATCTTGCAGGCGCTGAGCATCCCAGGGATCCCGCATCCCTCCTTGCCCTCCTTGCTCACCCCTATCGGCCGCCCGGTGCAGGAATGCGCGGCTCAATGCGAAGATTGACAGCAAGGCGGGGACGGTGGTGATGCAGACGCAGACGCAGAGCGCGTACGAGCAGCTGCTGGAGCGCAGCCGCGGGCTGGGCCTGCGCACGCTGGACCTCTCCAACGCCGTCTTTGGCGCCATGCGTGCCTGAGCTCCTTGCGCGCACCAGGTGCTGGCTGCTCCTGGGCTGGCATGCCGGTTAAGCCGCTGTGCTGCCATGCGTTTCTTGCGCCCCTTTGCCCCTTGCTTACTTTCTCAGCTCCCCTTTGCCGCTCCCCGCTGCTCTTGCTATGAACACTACCTTACCGCGGTACACACACATGTGCAATGTAAAGACCAACGAACAGAGCACACGTGTGTCAGGGGCCGCGCCAGTGCCAGTGCCACGATCCGCTGACTTGCTCTGATAGCCAGCCACGGCACTGGTTTGAGCGTTGCGCTAAGGGCGCTGGGGCGGCGGAAGGGCGCCAAGACCACCCGGCGCTGGCGATCGAGCCTCGCTCCTTTCCTCGATCACCAGTACTGCTCCTGCATTTCACGATGCGCCGCGCAGCCTGGCTCCTCGCTCGCAGCGCGCAGTCGATGGCCTCGGCAGGCCCCTTGCAGGCCGCTTCAGCCGCGCAGCAGCTCGCCGCGGTCCCCTGGGGAACAGCAGCAGGTGGGGAGGGCGCCGCGGCGGGAGAATGTTACCACTGGGTTGTAGAGCTTGTGGGCCCTGTTTCTAGAGGCTCCAACCAACGCCCCTCCGCCTCACACACGCCTGCAGGAGCTGTCAGCACTGTGCAGTCCCGCTGGAGCCACTGCTCCTGCTCAGGCGACCTGAGTCTGCCGCCGCCGCAAAAGGTGCGCTGCCGCCGCCAAGGGATTGTGTGCCTGCATTTACTGCTGCTGGGTGCTCCATCGCAATGGCACAAAGCCGCTGAATGAGCCTAATGCTGTGGTCCTTTGGCCCGCCCCGCACCTTGTCCCCCCTCTCCCCGCCTGCTGATCACATCCCCTCCCTTGTGATGCAGGTGCTGGTGGAGTACGCACCCGCCGAGGTGGACACCTTCATAGCCTTTGCGGACGCGGTGGAGGAGGAGTTTGAGGGGATCATGGTGGACGGCGTGGAGGTGCGGCAGGGACCTTGCCTGCTCGGCAGCAGGCGGCAGCGCTTCCGCGCAGCACCAACAAGCCTGCTGCCTCCCCACCACCACCCAGCGGCAGCTCGGGGAGGCCGGGCAGGCAGTTACCTGAGACGCAGTGAACGATTTGCAGCTGAGGGTGGCAAGGCAGCATGCTGAATCCTGCTGCTAACGATTTTGCGCTGCAGGTGGATGGCCCGTCGCACGCCTTTGACATCAAGCTGGAGGATGGGCAGCTGGTGTTCAGCCGGGACGCCGAGGCCAGCAGCGGCCTGCCAGAGTACAGCGACCTGTTTGCGCGGCTGCGCCTGGCGGGAGTGCAGCCGGCTGCCATGTGACCAGCGGCTTGCATCACCGGCAGCATGTTCCGCACAAACGCGCCATGTTTTCCTGTTGAGAGCTTGTACCACTTACATCCAGACACACCGCATGTGATGTGCTGATGTGCTTTTTTGCACCCTGTATTTCTATCCACCTCATCTGACGCCTGGCTTCCGCAGCCGAGCTGCGGTGCATGGCGAACCTGTAAGCTACCCCCGCTGCACCGCAACACCGGGGGGGGGACCCCCAGCTCAGGTCTGAAAATCAGCTCGCATGCCAAAAACAAGCCTTGGCTAGGAATATCCGAGGGGAGCTGGAAATTTGTGCCTTGTGGTCCTGCCAGGCACTGTTTTGCGGCCGTGCGCGCTACACGCCCTCGCCCCCCTGGCCGACCACCACGCCCCGCTCCCCTTCCTCCACCTGGCAGGTGCTCCCGCTGGAGCGCCCGGACGCCGCCGCCTCCTCTGACACGCACCCAGCACGGCGGGACAGCGGGCTGGCAAATGCCTGGCGGTAGAAGCAGAGAGCCAGGGAGAGGCCGGTCGCAAAGGCCAGCAACACATCCTCTGCATGGTGCCTGTGGGTAGGAGCAGGCGGAGGATTGGGAGGGAGAGAATTTGCCCATCGATGGCAAGCGGTGGCAGCCAGGCTGCAGCGCCAGGCGTTTTTAAGCCCATGCAAGGCCTGAGTGTACGGCATGGCATGGCAAAGAAGCGCTGCGGGTGGCACAGCACCTGTAGTCTTGAAGACGGGTTACGCCCACCCAGGCCACGACCAGCAAGGGCAGAAGGCACAGCGTGCAGCACATCGGCGCTGCGCCGCTGTGAAACACGCGCAGCTTGCCCGCCAGCCACAGAGAGAGGAAGCCCAGTCCAGCGGATGTCCAAGCCACGTGCACTGCGCATGTGAAGGCAGGCAGGCAAGCAGATGGGCGTCATCCAGTTGATGGAACGGTGTGATGCATGTGATGCAGCTTGCCAGCACGACGGCTGAGCTCCAGCGCAGCCGGCATGGCATTGACCGCAGAGCGGAGGCTGGCTGGCAGGGGGGTAGGCTGGGAAGCGCAGCCTGGACGACCAACCTGAGGGGCAGCTGCGCATGCCCTTGCTCACCGCCACAGCCGAGGCGCCGGCCTCGCACAGCGGCTGGCCCAGATGGGACAGCACCGGCGTGAGGCCGGTGGGCCAGCAGCGGGCGATGAAGTCGGGGCGATGGCGACCCAGCTGCATGCGTCAGAGGCGGTGAGTGTGTTGCCCGATGGGCCATCGCTGTGAGAGTCGCTGCATGCAGCTCGCTGCCTTCCGGCCCAGCTACGCAGCTGGCTGTGCTCAGCAGTGCTTGCCAGCGGCTCCTGGCAGCCATGCAGGGCTCCGCCCCTCCCCCAATGAACAACCCACCAGGTTCTTGAGCAGGTTGCTGAGCGCCGAAGTCGTGGTCACGGCAGCTACTAGCATCAGCAGGCTGTGGTGCAGCTCCACTCGGGAAGACGTTCCCGCCAGGTGGGCTGCCAGGAAGGCGGCGGCTGGCAGGCCAAGGGACAGCAGCGGTACCACCCAGCGTGGTAAGGTGTCTGCGGTGTAAGGGTAGCTGTACCGCCAGAACTGCACGTCACTGCCGCCATACATGGCGCGGCGGAAGGGCTCCAGGCCGTGCAGCCACCTCGCCAGCACGGCTGTGGCGGCCAGGGCCACATACTGTGGCCAGTGGCGGGCCACCAGCTCTCGCCACGGCGGCTGCGCAGCCGCCGCATGCAGGAGAGGCGGCACCAGCGCGCTCTGGCTGTGGCTGGGAAGGTCCATTCCTGTAGCTAGGTGCCCGACTCGGTACGCTGCCTGGGAGGCGGCAACAGACGGGGGAGGCCGGCGCAGGGCTCCAACTATGCTGGTAGGGCCGTGTCAGTTATAGCGGCAGGGACGATGGTGGAGATGCGGAGGAGGGGCACCTGTCCAAGGCTGGCGAGATTGGTCCCACTTCTTAACCTGCCCACTGGCAGCATTCAACGCACAGAGCGTAATGAGCTCATTGTGGGGGAGGTGTGGAGGCACCATCCCCGTCAGCGCCAGCGTGGCACAGGCATCCATCCCCTCTTTCGACACCTACGCCCCACTCCAGGTGCTTAAGCTTAAGAGGCCTCTGGTTCACGCTATTCACAGCGCCGAGAGTGGTAGACCGGCCGGGGCTGTCCTGCCCTGGCCTTGGATCCATTGGCACGGCCTGCAGGCCGCCGCCTGAGCGGCCCAGCCATCAGTATGGCGCTGAATGATGCCAGGCAAATCTGGCGGCAGTGCTGCCATGGCTGCCGCGCTCTTCGCCGCCCATACAGCCGTCCGCTCTCTCTCAGCGCTCCTCGCCAGCTGAGCACATGTACTGCTACCTGCCTGCTGCTGAACGCAGGGAGCCCCTCCTTGACCCCGATGGGGACTCCTGCCAAGCCTCCAGCGACTGCCAGGAGACGCGGCCTGGACCAGGAGGCGAGCAGGCACCCCGTGGCGGCAGCGCTCGCCGTCCCACCTGCACCACGCTGCAGCTGGCGCTGGCCTTCTGCGCTGCGCTGGTGCTGGCGCTGTGCGTGATGCTTGCAGGCGCCCGCAGTGGCGGCAGGCGGTGCCCGCCTTACTGCCGCAAGTCCTCCTCCATCGCAATCCTGACCCTGCCACCCTGCCACACCACGCCCGCCCAGACGGCCTCCCCCAGCGGAGAGCCCTGCGAGGGCGGCGACGGCGATGGCATGCACCAGCAGCAGCTCCTATTGTGGAGCGGCATCGGCCTGCACAAGCGCATCTTTGGAGAGCTGCTCTCCTTTGACCTGCGCCAGCGAGTGTGGAGGCACCTGCGGCCCGCCCCCGGCCCGCACCCCGTGCCCCGCTGGAAGGCGGGTACCGCGCAGGCGGCTGCAGGGGGCATGGTGGTGGTGGGCGGCGACGCCTACACCCCCAACACCCGCCTGCACAGCTACAGTAACGACGTGTGGCGCCTGGCGCCGACGCCGGCGGGACACTGGACCTGGGAGCAGGCGGTCGTGGCGCCTGGCGCCCAGCCAGCTCCCCGCAGGGGCCACTCCACCATACACTACAAGGTGGGAATGGAAAGGAGCGGGCTGGCAGGCTGCGCTGATGGCGCAAACCGCCTGCTTGGTGCTGATGGGAGGAATGTGCTTACACCAGGACGCCGTCATTTCACTCACCCGCCCACCACCCTCCTTGCACCGCCACCGTGGCACAGGGCGAGGATGTGGCGGAGCACATCGTTTTGTTTGGCGGGCGCACCCAGGACAAGGCGCTGCTCAACGATGCCTGGGTGCTTAGCCTGCGCTGGCCCAACGCCACCTGGCACCAGCTGGCGCCGCAGCTGCCCTCCGGCTACGGCGCGCCCGCTCCCCGCAGAGGCCACTCCGCCGTCCTGGTGCCAGGCGGCAATGGCAGCTCGCCACACATGGTGGGGGGCGGTGGAGCCTGTGTGCAGGCTGTTCGGTAGCCACGCATCATCTGGGCTGCGCTGCCGCCGGCGGCGCAACTGCATTGCTGTCGCTGCAGCCGCTGCTGCTGTTGCTGCGCTGCTTCTGTTGCCAGTCCCTAGGCCTGTCGCCAGCCAGTTCCTTGCGACCGTGCCAGCCGCCGCCGCAAGCATTCTCCAGCTTTTGCCCTGCTCCTCTCCTTGTCTTCCCATGCCGTGCGCTGCAGCTGGTGTATGGCGGGCGGGAGGATGTGAAATACTACGATGACGTGTGGCTGCTGTCGGTTGGGGAGGGCAGCTGGCGGCGCCTGGAGCCCACCTCAGATGCCCTGCCCTTGGGCCGCGACCACCACTCCACGGCGGTCGCCGGCGGCAAGATGTTTGCGTGGGGTGAGGCGGCGCAGCAGGGCGACGTGGCGCACCAAGCATGCCTCGCCTCGCATAACAGCTGTTACAGCCTGGGCTAGGAAGCCGGCCGCCCGGGCTGTCAACTTGCCGCCGCTGCCTGCACAGCTCCGGCAGCCTTAAGGCTGAGCAAGCTTGCCCAGCTGGCATCCCCGCTGGGATCCAATGCCTCATTGCTCGCCTCTACCCCCTGCTGCAGGCGGGCGCTTGGGGCGCACCTACTTTGAAGCCCAGGCGCTGAATGAGCTGTGGGCGTTTGACCTGCAGACCCGGGCCTGGGAGCAGGTGTGGCAGCCTGCCACAGACACTGCTGCACACCATGACGGTGCTGGCACCCATCCCCCTCCAGTTCGGAGGGTGCTGCTCGTGAGCGCTGGCTGAATGCGGCACCATCAATCCTCCCATGCATGCAGGTGGAGCAGAAGGGCCCGGTGCCGCTGCCCCGCTTTGAGCAGGCGCACACGCAATACACGCCTCCGGGGGCCGCAGGTGGGCCGCTGCATGCTGCCCCTCCAGGCCGCAGCACAGCAGCAGGCACGGTGCTGCAGGGCGGCAGCAGGTGCCCGACTTCCAGCAGCTGGGTAGGGACAGATGCGGCGCAGCTGGGCTGAGACCTCGGCACGCTGCCCAAGCTGGTGCCGCCTCGCGCTGTTTCACATCGCTCGTGTGCGCGCCTGCCTGCCTGCAGCTCCGCGCCTGCTGGTCTTTGGCGGCCAGGCGGCCCACGTGTGCCAGCTGAACGACGTGGCGGAGCTAGACCTGGCCACGCTGACCTGGCGCCAGCTCAGCGCGCCCCGCTTCTGCACGCACAGGTGCCGCAAGGCCCACCGCCAGGGGCTCCTGGGCTGAGCCGTCATGCTTTGCCCTGTCTCCCGCTTTGACGTCAGCCTGGATGTCTCGCCTGCAACTTGCACACTAGTTTATTGCGACAGTGTTACACAACGGAGCCAGCAGCACACTTTGCATGATTCCTGCGCCTCAGGCGCGGTGCGGGGTTTTGGGCGTGTCCCTAGGCAGTGATGAGCAGCAGGTGTTGAAAAGAGCAGCAAACAGGAAGCCCGTGAAGAGCACGCAAGGCAAGCTGTCTATGCCATGCGATACAGCAGCACAAAAGCAGAGCATTCGGTCCCGGCTGTGGCTGAAGGGCACTTGGAGGCCGCTGCAACCTGGGGCCGCTCAGCGGGTGCGGTAGCGTCAGCTTCAGGGCATCTCCAGCGAGGCCTGCAGCAGGGGCCACGGCTTGGTTGGGAAAGAAGAGGGCGCTGCCAGCTGTACTCAGTACGCGAGACCAGCAACACGCAGCTAGGATGGCAGCCCTGTAGCGACGCCGCGCGGCCACCCCGCCCTGCCTGCCTGCGCCTGCCACTGTGGATCGGCGCGCGGGCCCCACATCTCACCCCTGGCTCAGTGGTGGCCGCCCTTCAGCTTGGCCTCCTGCTCGTGCTTGTAGTGGGCATACTCGCGGGGCCAGGACAGGGCATAGGAGAAGACGAAGCCGTAAGAGACGAGGTCCACCAGCGGCTTGCTGCTGCCGGTGTCAATATTCTGTGGGAGCAAAAGCAAGTGGGGTTGGGGCGTGGAAAGGTTGGGGCAGGTAGCGGGGCGACGGCGGCGCCGGATGCTGTGGCAGCAATGCCTGAAGCGTGGCACGGTGCGTGGCTGTGCATCCATTGCAAGCACGCCGCGCATTGTTGCGGCGGCGCAGAGGGCAGCAGCGAGCGAACAGCGGCAAGCCAGGTGGAAGACTGCCGCCGTCGCCCCACTCCCGCCCCCGCCCCCGCCCTGGCACCCCCGCGCGGCCGCCCACCTGGATCTTGTAGTTGTGCAGCCAGTTCATAAACCTCCCCTGCAGCTGCGCGGGCGTCCAGTGCTGGCCAGCAAACTTCTGCACGTGGGTCGGCACCTCCTTCAGCTTCAATTTTGTCAGCTCCTTACTGAGCTGCGCCAGGGTCGGCATGGCGGCGCGGCTGAGTCGGCGCTGGCCGAGTGGGTGAGGGTGTTTGGCAGAGGCCCGGTTGGAGGGAACCCTGGCTCTCAGAGCACGGGCCTGGACGATGGCAGCCAGATGGGGCGCGAGAGAGCGGCGATCGGGCCCCCACCGCCCCATTCTTCCCCATGCTGCCCACAGCACGCTCCTCACGAAGCGCCGGCCCGGGCGCCTCTCAACCCGCATGCATGCAGGCTTCTGTTTGTTGCGCCCGGCTCCCTGTCAAGCATCACATCCAGCAGCAACCCTGTTTCAGCAGGCTGCCCAAAACGCTGCTGCGACACCGATCAAGGCCGGTTCCGCTCAGTGGCCTGCCTCCCCTTGGCGGCCGACCCACGAGCACCAATAATGGCGGTGAGATGACCTCTGCGCAGGGGGCACACTGCCTGAGGCGCAGGAGCAGCGCAGCGGCGTCGGGCGGAAGGCGCAGGGTTGCGGTGGCACCCTCTTGCCTCTCGGCCAGACGTGCAGCAGACGCGTCGCAGTTGCATACAGTAGGATAAGGCCTGATATCATCGCTGCATTGCCCACACCGCGTGGCCCTGCCGCGCCCCCGCCTCGCCACAGGATGCACGGCGGTATGCCGGCCAGATTGACCTTCGCCGCCGCGGCCACAAGACCCACATCTGCGCAGCCTGCGACTTCCCCATCTCTGTCTACGGCCGCTGCGCCCCCTGCCTCCACGCCTACTGCCTCACCTGCGCAGCCAGCATGGCGCAGTGCCTCATGTGAGCGAGGGTTGCTGGAGGGCTGGAGGGCTGGGCTGGGGTGGCACCCTGCCTGGGAGGGCCGAGCTCAAGCTGGCGCATGTCGGCTGGCTGGCTGGCTGGACGGCCCTGACTGCGCCCGATGGTGCACGTCCCAGCCGGCTCGTTGTCTGCGGGCGCCGCTTGTAGTCTCCATCCCACACAAGAACACACTTCCCACCCACCCCCCGGCCTCCCCTGCCCCCTGCCCACCCCGCTGTGCCGCAGCTGCCACGCCCGCATCACCAAGCTTGAGCGCATCCCCGCCGAGTCGGGCCTGTTCATCTCGCCGCTGACGCTGCAGGGGTACCGCACAGAGGCTGACCTGGCAAGGCATGCACAGCAGCTGGACCAGCAGCTGCGCCAGCTCATGGCCGCCTCGGCAGGGGCCGCTGGCGGCATGCCACCCATGCACCACCTGCAGGCGGCGGCCCCGGGGCAGCCGGGGTGGAAGCCACCGCCGCCGCCGGGCGCGCCTCCTGGCGGCGGTGGCCCCGGCGGCGGTGGCGGGCCGGGCTTTGGCAGGCAGGCGCCGCCGCCGCGCCAGCAGGGCGGCGTCGGCCGGCAGCAGCCCTTCCAGGCGCAGGTGCCGCACCAGCAGCAGGCCAGGCCGCCCCCGAGGCATGGCGCGGGCGGTGTCATGATGCCCCGCTGAGCATGCAGGTGGCAGCCTCCCGGATGCCTGCCCCGTTCCACGGGCGCCACCTGTTGCTCCAGTTTTGCAGCCCTCCTGCTCTCTCTCCCAAATGCATCCATCCTGCTCGACCGCCTTGCTGTTTACCCGTTGTCTGCATTGCTCCAGGCTGGGCGGCAGCGGCGCTGCATCGGCACCCGCTGCCACACTAGCTGCCATGTCTCCTAGCTGATCCTAGCGCACATCACTCCTGCTTGCTTCTTTCTGCTGAAATGAATTATATCTGTTAAACTGCACTCCTTACACATCAGGCGAAGAAGCACAGAAGCAGAAATGAAAGAGGCTCTAGAGAGAAGAGCGAGCAACAAGGCAAGTGTTTATCACTACTCAAAGTGTCACATGTTGACATCACAATGCGTCGAGGCATCACGGTAACTGATGGCAGATCAAGTATCAATCGGGGACAACACATGGCAGAGGAAAGTGCATGAAGCAGTAGCAAGTTCAGCGTTCACAGCAGGAGAAGCTCAGCCGTTGGGCGGCGGCGCCCGCAGCAGCCTGCAGGCCGCCCGGTGCTGCGGCCACTCCTGCTGGCTGCATGCCTCGCTGCAGAAGCGCACCGTTCGACAGCCGCTGCAGAGGCGCCCCCTGGGGGCCGCCGCCTCGCTGGCACCCTCCAGCCTGCTGCACCGCGGGTTGGCACACTTGAGCAGCGCCAGCGCCCGCGCCCTCCGCTCCGCCAGCTGCCTTCCCTCGGGGCTGAGGGGCGGGCGGCGGGGGCGGGGCACGTTGGCGGCCTGCTCGGCGGCTGCCTCGCGTGCCTCCTTTGCCAGCTGAGCATCTGCCACATCACAGAGGACTTCCATGGAGCGCCTGTTGCGCGCATACTCTGCCTCCAGGCAGCCCTCCACGCAGTGCCGCACCTCGTCCTGCTGAGAGGGGTCGATGGGCAGGTGGGGCACCAGCCTGCGCAGCAGGCTGCTCCGCTGCTCGTATATAGGCAAGGCCTGCAGGGCACGGGGCGGGGTCAGCCAGGTGCAGTTTGTTGGATGTAAGACTGCGGCTGCTTTGCTCCTTGAGGTTGCCACAGCAGGGGTTCCGACCCGTCACAGCCCGTACCATCACAGCCCGCACCGCTCACCTGCGCCGCAAGCTCGCCACCCGGCCTGGCAACATCGGCCAGCGTCCCGCCTAGGCCGCCCAGCATGCGCAGCAGGGTGTTGTGCCGCGCCAGCGCGGCGATCAGGCTCGGCTCCAGCTCGGCTGCCCTCTCCAGCATGGTCAGCGGGGTTGTAAAGGCAGACAAATCGCAGTTGGCGAGTGTGGGGAGCAGGCTGTAGAAGTGAGCCTGCATGGTACAGTGGGAAGGTGAGCCTGCTCAGTAACCCTCTGATTTTTCAGCGGGCAGGCGGCGTGGGGGCAGACAACCCCATGTCTAAGCAGCCACGCCCCGTTCCTGGTGCCAGGCGGGCAGCACGGCCCAGCCAACCGCGGGTCCATCAACCGCCTGCCGCACACGCAACCGCGCCGCACTTCAAGTCTGCCCACCTCTAACCCTCGGTAGGCCATATCTGCCAGCAGGCAGCGGGTGTCCACGCCGGCCACGGCAGCGGTGCCGCCCTCTCCCAGGAGCAGGCGCCACAGGGTCAGCGCCTGCTCGTTCAGCATGCGGAGCAGCACACTGCAGCGCCCGCACTCGAGCGCCGCCCGAATCTGCGCCCCAGCCGGCAGCCGCGGCAGGGCGGGCAGGGCGGCCAGGTAGAGCAGGAGGCAGCACTCCATCCGCCTGCAGGCCGGGGGCACAGACATGTGCATGCGTGAGCATGTACACATGGTGGTGGTGGTGGTGGTGGCGCCCGGTGCAGACCAGACAATACACGCTCCCCCGGGGCAGAGCAAACAACGCACGCTTTCGTGTCCATTCACGTGTAACCAAGGTGTACAGGGGGTGGTCCCCGGAGCAGGCCACCCCCCCCCCCCACCACCACACACACACGCCGCCCTGCCCACACCGGCGCACACACGCAGCCCGGCCCACACCGGCGCACCCGCCCACACCGGCAGACCTGACATATGGCTCCTGCTCGCCGGGCGGCACCTGCTGCAGCATGGCGGCGTTGAGCTGCAGCGCCAGCACCGCCGCCCGGTCCAGGCATTCCGCCACGCAGCCGAGCGTGGGCTCGGTCACGAAGACCTCGGGCGCGTCAGGCGCTGACACGGGCACGGGCAGCGCGCCGGCTCTGCCCGCCTCGCCTGGCCGCCTGTCCTGTGCCGTGCTGCAGGCGTGCTGGTGGGGCGCCAGGGCGTGTGTGTAGCGGCAGGCGGTGACCAGGGCGCGGTAGCTGGCAGCCGCCGACTCTGGCGAAGCGGAGGCGTGGCTGGGCGGGGTGGAGGGGGCGACGAGCAGGGCGGCAGCCAGCTTGGGCACCCCCACTGACATCATCGCGGCCAGGGTCCCGGGCGCGTCGGGGTCGCGCCGCAGGATCAAGGGCAAGGCCCCGCCGGCGGCCGCCACCGCCGTCGCGGCGGTGCGCCACACCCGCTCGCCGCCCGGGCCCGGCTGCCACGCCGGCTGGCGCGGCAGCAGCGGCGCCAGGCGGAGCAGCGCCTCGGCGGCGCGGCAGGCGGCGGCATGCACGCCTGGCGTGCGGATGCAGGCCGACAAGTCGAAGCGTGGCAGGACCAGACACCATGAGTTGAGAGTGTTGAACCACTCCATCGGGAACTCGCCCCAGCACATGCCGCCAAAGCCGGGGCGGCGTCCCGCGGCCGCGCCGCGACCGGCGTCGGCGCCCGCCGCCTCTGCCACCTCCCCCGCCAGCTGGCACAGCAGCGGCAGGCCGCCGGGGCCGCCCAGCTGGCACAGCAGCCCCTCCGCGCGCTGCAGCAGGCTGGCCGGCAGCTGCTGCCCCTCCACCTCCAAAAACAGCTGCAGCACGTCATGCGCCAGGCTGGCCGTCAGCTCCAGGCACGCCGCCATCAGCCCCGCCTGCTCCCGCCTCTCCTGGGCGGCCGCCAGCCGCGGGTGCGCCGCCAGGCTGCCCGCCGTCGCCAGCAGCGTGGCGCGCCCCGCGCGGATGCTGCCCGCCTCCCAGGCGCGCCGCCCCTCAGTGCAGCACTCGTTCGCCATCGTCTCCACCACCTCCAGCAGCATGATACAGCGCTCGCCGTCCGCCAGTGCCGCCTCCCACTGCGCCTCTGGCAGCACGAAGCAGCGCGCACACAGCCTCACCACCTGCACCTGCACCTCGGCCTGCGCATGCACCACGGCGCGCAGGCCGGGGCAGGTGTCGGCAGCCAGCAGGTTGCGCAGCACGGGGATGAGGGTGGTGTAGGGCGGCACGTAGCTGTCTGCAGCGCAGCAGAAGCCAGGAAGGTGCAGCCAGGGGCCGCGGTGACGGCAAGAAAGAGCGGGCGGCACAGCAGGGCAGCGGGCGAGCTAGCCAGCCGGGGCAGACATGTGCTGTCACCGCCATATGGCAGCGGCATGGACTCCCCGGCAGCAGGCAGCCGGTGCACTGGCGTGCCGCCACTCACTGGTGACTGTCATGTAGGCACAGGTGGCCTCTGAGATGGCGCACACCCAGGGCGCCAGCTTCTGCGGCTTGAGGGAAGTGGCCGCCAGCAGCGCCGCCGCGCGGGACGGCATCACCTCGCACGGAGGCGTCAGCAGGCTGAGCAGGGCGTACACGGGCTTGGACGCGCACCACACGTGCCTGTGCAGCATCTCAACGGCGGCCTCCCGCCTGCTGCCTTGCAGCACCTCCGCCCGCAGGCTCCTCAGCTGCGGCAGCATCACCTCCAGCGGCACGACTGCAGGCAGCGGGGAGCTTGGAATCATTCAGCATGCCTTTGACTCGTGGGGTGGAGGGTCGGGCAGGGCACCCCGCAAGCCGCAGACAGGCCATCAAGCAAGCGCTGCATGCCCGGGCCAGCGGCAAGCGCCTCACCTGCCGCCGTCAGCAGGCGGATCCAGTCGGCCTCTGCCAGCTGCAACGCTTGGCTCTCCAGCAGGCCCAGCATCATGGCAAAGGCCTGCGCAGCAGAGCAGGGACCGGCAAATGTGATGGCGATGCCAGTCTGGTTGTCAACTCACGAGGCAGCAACCCCTTGCCACTTGGCCACCAGGACAGTGCTTGCTCAACCTGGGAGATTGCCTGTGCCTCGAAGAACATGACCCTATTCGCTGTGCTGGCATTGTAATTCGGCTGCAGCTGACGATGCCTCAGGGATGCGCTGCCTTCTGCCAGGCAGCCTCCTAGCCCCGCAAAAGCCCTGGAGGAGGAGGGGCAAGCGGGTGGCGGCGGCGGTGGCAGCGGCAGATGCATGCCGGGAAGCATTGCGCAGCGCTCGACAGGTGCTGCCAGCCCTTCCTACCTCGACACGGCCAAGGGAACAGGGCCAGAGAGCAATGCAGCCGCGCCACACGCGTTGGCAAGGTCGTTCAAGCTGGTGATGGTCGCCAGCGCGTCGCGGCTATTGCTCATTACTGGAAGTGCAGCATGGAGCCGCTCCACCCCAACGCCAATTGTGCCCCACACCGCGCTCGGATCCCCCATGCTTCTTGCGAACCACACACAAACGGGAGACGCAACAAAGCACCCCAATCGCCTCTGACAACGATGCAAGCCACTAGAAATGCAGCTGCCAGATCCGATGCCCACCAGGCGGGTGCGCAGCGGGACGCAGCATGCGCTGGCGGACCACCGCTGCACAGGAGCCCTGGCGGAGCACTATTGTGGCAAACGCTTCATATGTGCGTCCCGTCAGACTTCAATTCCACCAAGACAGCCGACACTGTATTTCTCTATCGGGATCGATGACCTATGGCTGCGGCGCCGCCATCATGGCCCCCACATACTCTGCCAGGCTGGCGTGCTTGCGCTGCAGCAGCGGCGGCTGCCCCGCCAGCCCCGCCTCCAGCCGCGCCAGCAGTCCCTGCGCCTCGACCAGCAGCTCCTGCAAGGCGGTGGGTGACCCTCAGCAACAGGGACTTTCCAAAGGATGCCAGGCCTGCCGGCACCGCTTCCACCTGCGCCGCCTGCTCCCTCACGTAATACAGCCAGCGGCAGCCTGCTTGGGTTGCTGCCCGCCATGCCTGCCAATGCTGGCCAACCCACCCACCTGCGCCTCGGCATCTCCCCCCAGCTCGCGGCGCGCCCCCGCCAGCTTGATGCAGCTGGCAGCCAGGTCCAGCGCCGCGGAGCAGCAGGCCGCCTCCCTGTCGGCAGCCGCCCTCGCCGCCGCCGCCGGCTCGCGCGCTTCTGGCCCGCTGTCTTCCTGCTGCTGCGCCTGCTGCTGCGCCTGCTGCTGCGCCTCCCGCTGCAGCTGTGTGGCTGCCAGAAGGCCACGCCGCAGCTGCAGGGCCTGGGCATAGAGCTCGGCCGCCGCTTCCAGCTCGCCCTGCATGTGCCGCAGCTCTCCGACCTTGTTCAGCGACACCGACAGAGCCTGCTGGGCCTGCACAGCGGGATCGGGCGCAGGGAAGGAGGTTGGCGAGTCGCGTTGAGCGGAGATGTGGGGGCAGGTCAAGGGCCTGGGGCTGATGAAGCAGCAGGGGAGGCCCCTCGGACACACAAGGAGATGCCCAGCCAGCCACCCGCCCACCTCGGGGTCATCCCCTGCCGCCCGCAGCAGCTCCACGCTGCACTGGTAGTGGCGCAGGGTACCGTCTGCGTCGCCCTCGGCGCGGCAGCAGTCACCCAGGCAGCCGCTCACGGCGCCCAGCCTGCGGCGCATGAGCGGTGCGGGCGTGAGGGGCGTGAGGGGTGCTGATGTGCGTTGGGGCTGGCGGGAGGAGCCAGCTAGGTGGCTTGGTTTGCCGGGGGGCAGCAAACAAGCAGCGCCTGCCTCCCTCCCGCTTGCCTGCACTGAATCACCGCCACCTCGGGCAGCACGCTGCCTCCCCCGGAAGTCTGCGAGGGAGCAAGGGGCAGGCACCCGTTTGAAATGCAGCAACCGGCCAACGACAGAGCCGCATCTGGAGCCGGGCCAACCGCCAAAGGCAGGCAACCTGCCACACGCACCACCCCCAAAGCGCCGGCGTCCCTCACCTGCTGCTGCACCGCCGCCAGCTGCTGCTGCAGCTGGCGCTGGCATGCCTGGAAGCGGTGGCGTGCGCTGCCTGCAGGGCGGCAGGGCATGGGATCAGCGGATATTGTCAGATGTTCAAGAAGCAAGCTGAGAAGGGCTCACAAGCAGCCAGAACAGCGGCGGCTGCAGCCCATACACGCCTGTGTTGCCGGTGGCGATGGCCCGCAGGCCCAGCTGCAGCAGGAAGGAGGCGCGGCTGCGCTCCCCCGCCATCCCCTCCACCTGCAGCAGCAGCAGCAGCAGCAGCAGCACAGGTTGAGAAAAGTCTCGGGGCCGGTCCCACATGCCAGGCGCACCAGGCAAAGCGGACTGCCACATGCGTACGGTGCCCGGCGGGCCCCTTCCCTGCCTGTCCCGGGGCCCCGGCAAAACGCACCTTCTGGGCAGCTCCAGGGGGACCCTCCAGCTCCCAGATGGTACTGGAGCCCGCATGGACCTCGATGTACCGCTCCACAAGCTCTGCAGTACATGGCAGTAACGGACAGGGCGCGGGGGCGAGGCGTGGGGGTGGGGCTGAGAGGCATCCCAACACCGCCCTCTGGCGTCGCAATCAGACCACCACCCACACACGCACACCACCACCAGCCACACGAAAGCCACCTTGGGTCTGCGGGTCGGGCGCGAGGCTGGTGATGTCGGCGCCGCAGGCGGGGCAGTCGCGCGCGTCGCGGATGCAGCCGGCGCAGTAGCGGTGGCCGCAGCTGGTGACCACGCAGTCGAAGAAGAGCGACCTGTGAGGTTGGGGGGAGGGCAGTGAGAGTACAGAGCGTAGATGTGACGGCATGAGGGGGACTGCACGCACAGGGACACGACGGCGTGCTGTCCTGCCCACATGCCAGGCGAGGCTGCAGGTGCCCGGGCATATGGGCAGGCGCTCACTTGCACAGCAGGCAGTGGAACTGGCCCAGCCGTGGGCCCTGGGCGCTGCTGCCAAATCCCAGCGGGCATACTGCTGGCGCTGGAGCGTCGGCGTCGGGCGCTGCGCCCTGCCGCGCTGCTGCGGCGGGCTCCGCCCCAGCTTCTGCCGCGGCTGCCACGCCCACACCGCCCATGCCTGCCAGGAAGGGGCACTGGCTGGCGGCCGGTGGAGAGCTGGCCGTAGGTGTGCCCGGATTGAGCCCCTTGGCCTTCTCCAGCGGCTGTTCACCATCAGCCGCAGGACGAACGCATGCTTCGGCTGCACACGCACCGCGCACGCCGGCCGGTGGCGGCGGAGTGGCGGTGGCAGCAGCGGCGGCGTCCCCAGCGGCCGGCTGCAGCTGCTGCACCGCCCTGCCGCTGAAGGGGCAGCCCCCTGATGCCGGTGGAGTGGCCGCAGCCTGCTGCCCCGCTGCAGTCTCAGATGGAGCAGCGCCCCGGGCGGGCCACAGGTGCCGGAAGGGACAGGACGACATAACTGAGCATGTATGCGACACACAGTGCTGTGCAGAAAGCCAGAGGCGCCAAAATGTACCAGGCTGATGTGTCCAGGCGCCAAAACTCACGCGGCCTTCCTCCCGGCGCTCTCGCTAGCGGTCAGCATTCTGTGCCCGGCTGCTGCATGCCAGCCCCATCCCTGCCAGCCTCGCCGACTTCGACCGCTCATATTCAGCAGCAAAAGCGAGGAGGAAGCGTCCTGACCAGCCAGGGCCCTCAGTGAGTGACGGCAGGGTGGGTAGCATCGCGCCGGTAGCGAGGCAGCACTGCCGCCCGCTTTCCCATCTCCACCGCCGCCGCCCTGCTCGCCCGCAGCCCCGCCTGCGAGGATGCGAAGATGACGCAGCACCGGCGACTGCGGGTGCTGGCCACGCACAGCTTCAGGACCAGCGGCAAGATCTTCAGCGAGCAGGTTTGCACTGTCTCGGGCGCCGCCACCATGCCTGGTCGGCCGCTCGGCCGCCGCCGTTCCACCACGCCAGGCCCTGCCGCCCCCGCAGATGCAACGGGCCGGGCTGGACAAGGCGCTGGAGGACCTGATCGAGGTGTGCTACATAGACGCGCCCAACGCCGCCAGCGGGCCCATCCCCGACGACGTGGCGCCCTACTTCCAGGGACCCTACCACGAGTGGTGAGGCGGCGCCGGGGCGCGCTGGCGCAGGCCTCGACGGCAGCAGCGATGCGCAGACGAAAGCTCTCGGTGCGCCTCGGGCATTGCTCTACCATGGCGGCGTGACCAAGCCGGTTCTTCTTTCCCGCCCCCGCCCTGGTTCGGTGCCGCCTGCCGCCGCAGGTGGAACGCCAGCCGGGATGAGCAGGGGGCGTGGACGTACGAGGGCTGGCAGCGCTCGGTGGCGGCGATGGAGGAGGCGCTGCGGCGCCACGGGCCGTTTGACGGCCTGATGGGCTTCTCCCAGGCACGGCCGCTGGGCTGGGCTGGGCAGGCGTTCAAAGCGTGGTTCACTGGCCGGCCGGTGCTCGGGCCAGCAGGCTGTGCTCGCATGCAGGCTGCGCTCTCATGGTGCATACCATGTGCTCCGACCCTCACCCACTTGGTCCTCGCTGTGCAGGGCGGCGCCATGGCCTCGCTGGCCATCGGCATGCAGCGCAGCGGCTTCGCCTTCAAGGACACGCCACCACTGCGCTTCTGCATCTGCTTTGCGGGCATCAGGTGGGGCGGCACAGGGCTGGGCTGATGCACAGGATCATGGCCGTCGGCAAGCTGCGCTGTGGGGCAGGACTTGGTGCCCACCTTGCTTTCTGGTGTTAGCACAAATAGCAGGAGGGCATGCAGGCATCCCTGTGCCCGCCCGTCTTCCCATTCCACATCTGTGTCCTCTTTTCCATTCTTCCTGCCCTGCTTTCTTTCTTTCCTCCGCAGAGTGCGCGATCCCCAGCTGGAGTGCTTTTACGAAGCCATGCGCCCCGCCCCCTCCCTGCACATCATAGGAGACAGGGACCCGGTCAAGCGGCTGACCAACCAGGTCCGGTGCACATCGCATGGGCTGCCGCTGCCAGGGTGCCGCTGCCTTGGGGTGGTGCTGGCCTGGTCACCAGCCAGGCCGTCTTGCTGGCGACGCAAGCATGCTGCATGCATGCGCAGGGCAGGGATGAGCCAGGGGCCCCACTCCCAGCCCTGCGCTGCTCGACACAATGAGCCGGATCACGCCGGCAGTCTGCAGTGCCCCGACTCCCCAGCATGCCCTGCCTCCCTGACACGCCTCGCCTGCGCCTGTGCTGCTCCCCCGCCTGCAGCTCATCGCTTCCTTTGACCACCCGGTCGTCATCAACCACACCCGCGGCCACGTCATCCCCGCGATGCAGCCGCCCGACCTCCAGCGCCTGCGCGCCTTCCTGCACGCGCAGCTGCAAGAGGCCAGCCTGTAGCGCCAGCTGGTGGCTGCCTGGCTGTTCCCTGCATGTTGTGTGCCTGTCAAACTGCGGTCGCGGCACGCTGCAATGGTCTCGCAGTGGATGGTGTAAGCAAGCTGACAAGTGACAAAAATAGGTAAACAAGCGGCTGCGCTACAATGAGGAGAGCGGTGGGGAGACGGAAGACGAGGGTGAGCTGCCGCTGCTGCTGTGCTGTTGCTACTGCTGAAAAGACCATGGTGGTGCTTCTGTGACCTGCTGCTGCCCCTGCCACCACCTCGGGACTGCAAGCAATTCTTAAGAAAGCTGCACCGCGCAAGCTGCAGCGCCTCTGCAACCTGCAGCAGCGGCAGGAGGCCCGCCAACACGGCACGCTGCAGGCCAAGCAGCAGCCAAGGCGGCAGAGTCGCACCCCCTGTGAGTGCAGGGCTGGCAGCTGCAGGTTCGGTGCTGGAATGCCGCATGCAGTACTGCTGCTGCTGCTGTTGGTACCTCGCAGCTGGCGGCGCTGCCCTGGCGCTCAAGCTCCTCTCTGTGTCGGTCAATGCTTCTGCGTCTGTGTGCTGCATTGCAGACACCTGGCAGGCATCGACAGCGACGAGGATGATCCCCTTTGACGGGGGCGGCTGCAGCCGAGCCGCAGCAGGGCCTGCTGCGCAAACATGCTTTGCGCAGAAAAGGAGACAGCAGCCAGGGCGGCAGCCAGCAGGCCTCCAGGCCAGCACCCAGCTGGGGCAAGGCTGATGTGGCCGCAGTGATGCCCCAGGCAATGGCCTTGGTACTAGTGGCCCTCGGTGAGCCAGGACGTTCCCTTCTTGTGATGCGTGCGCCAGCGTGAATACCTGGCAGACCCTGGCAGCAGCACACCTCCCTCGTCGCTGAGACTGGCTCTTCCTCTGATCTTGGTGGTGCCCACCCGCCGGGTGGTATGCGTGTGCTGCAGAGGGCGCGCCTACGCAGACGGCGCAGGGCAGCGGGCACGTCAGTCCTGAAGCGGGTCGAGGATGATGCCGAGGATGCACCAGGTGGGTGCATGGCCACTGGCAGATCTCTAGAGTATCGAGATGGGCAGATGAGCATCTGACTGATGACACAAGGCTGTTGTTTTCGGATTGCGGGGTTATTCCCGCACGCCGCAAAGAACATTGTCTGGAGCCGCACCCCGCCGGCAGCGCCCCCCATGCAGGCTTGACCCCGGGGTGATTCACATCGGTTCCAATCACCCCTGGAACTTCTCCCCAGCCATTCTCAAGCATTTTGCATGCAGTTTGTGCGGCTGTGAAAGCTTCTGGTCCATGGCTTCGGGTGGGCCCAGCAATATGCGGGTGCTGGGAGACGCGGCTGCGAGCGGCGAGGGGTTTGGGCCCGACTTCGTTCCTGAGCAGGCGAGCTAGGCAAAGGGGCCTTTCGTGCTGGGATTGGGTGGTTCGTGAGTGGCTGTTTGAGGGCGTGTCCCTCGCTCCCACCCCTCCTGTTGGGGGTTGGCACCGGCCTTTCTTGGCAAGCCTGGAAACCTTAAAACTGCCTTATGAACTGAATGCGAGGGTGCAAGGGCCTGGGCCATCACTTAAAGGCCTGGGCCTGGGCAAGGGCCTGGGCAAGGGCCTGGGCCATCACTTTCCTTGAAACGCAGAAAAACAGCCTCCTGGGTGCAGCCTGCTGCCTGTTGGGTGCAGCCTGCAGGCCTGAAGGATTTGTGCACCATATTGCAACTCTTGGCCTTCTGCAGCCGTTTCGGGCATTTGTGTTCACATTCTCTTGCTATTTGAATGCAGATCGCAGGTGCAGAGCTCGAGAGGCCCGCCCCCATGTCCAGCCGGGCTGTTGTGGCGGCAGCGGCCGAGGTGAGGGGTGTGTGGCCTTGCGTCTCTGTATGACCTTAAGGTCACAAGCTTGGAAATTGATGCCGGGGGCAATATCTGGCATAACCAAAAACCGACTTAACCTTGGGCAACCTAAAGGTTGTACATGCATCGAGTTGCATGCATCGGGTAGCATGCCCACTTCTTGAGAGGTTGAATTTCAGCAAGAGCAAGCAGCGGCGCATGCGGCTTGTAGCACTGCCACCTCTGCTATTAGCCTTGCATCTTCACGCCTCCATGCAGCTTGCAATGCTGGTGGCGCTGGCGATGAACCCCGCCGGTGGGGACTCTCAGGGCGGCGACGTGGGTGGTGCACAGGTGGGGTCCTTGTACCATGCATGTTGCATTCGGCACTATGCATTCTGCAATCTGCTTCCCAGCTGCATGCTGCATGTCTCTGCGTCCATCATGTTGCTGTGGTTCACTGATGGCATCCACTGCCTGGCTGGTTCCCTGCAGGCGGAGCAAGGCACGCAGGCGGTTGTCCACGTGTCCACGGGTGCCGGCCCCTCACAGCAGCGACTGTCGGTGGGTGTTGACAACATGACTGGCTGCCTAGATCTGTGTGCTGCCACTGCCTTTGCCAGGTGTCTGGTAGGGAAATGCCCTGGAGGTGGGCGGGCGTCTGCCGTGTGTACTTCCAACCTCCTCTAGAGCATGCCAACAGCACCCGACAGTCGTGCAGAGCGGTCCACATGGCAAGACGCGGAAGCGTGGCGAGGAGGATGCCCTCAACCTGGAGAATGGTCACCTGACGGAACCCCCCGCATGGGCGGTGAGACGGCACGGTTCTGTGCTTTTGGGGAGGAGGTTTCTTGGTTGGTTGCACTCTTGGTTTGTGTTGGCACCTCCACAATATTTTCGGTGCAGCCCGAAGGCTGCACTCTGCCGCATATTGTCTGCATTGTGCATTGTGCAGGGCTTCACTGCTCCAGCCTCGCGTCAGGCCTGGGGGGCAATCGACTCGGTGCACCCGCCAGGAGACGCCATTGGTGCAGTCATCAACACCGCCATCTCTGGGCACTCCCGGTGCAAGATTAATGGCGGCGCCGGGTAAGGGCCGGTGGAGTGTGCACAACCTTCATCTCCCCATTGCGCGCCGGACCTGCGTGTCCTGACCGCTGACGCCGTTCCTCTACCCACCAACGCTCCCGTGTGCCGCGGTTAAGAAAGGCCTTCTTTGAAGGCGCTGGAGCTAGTGTCTAAACCCTCCGAGAGGGCACAGGTTCGATTCCCTCCCATGTCGAAACTTTGTGAGGACAAACGCGGCATAGCTGACCGGCTCAGCGCCAATCCAAGCCAATTCCTTCGGGAACGCCTAATAGAATCGCCAAGGCTTCGGCACAGGCCTCCCCGGGACCCATTCACTACTAGTGGGGGGTACTGCACTTGGCGCGTCGGGCAGATCAAATAATGGTCTAAAGCTAGACGTTAAAACCGGGAAGTTAAGCTTGTGGAGGCTCTTCCCCACCTTTACCTTTACCTTTACCTCCCAGGTACAAAGGGGCGCATGATGGGCAGGGCCCATCATCCCGTGGGATC